TGCCACAGAGCAGGGCCACCACAGTGTCCTAAGTCCAGAGCCCTCCCGACTCCCTCAGGGAATCTGAAAGGGATGCTGGTTCCCTTTTACATGAAGTCAGAAGCCCCTTCCTTGATAAAATCCAGCCACTCCAAGGTGAAGAAGTAAGAATTACTGGAAATAAACAACAGTTCTAAAAACTTGATGATTCTGGTCATTCATCCTATAGCTTCTGTCCTTAGCCCACGTTGTCAGTGTTTTAGGCCAATGTTGCCTCTCATTTGTGAGAATGATCCCCACTTCCTACTGCCCAACTGTCTGTGAGCCAGGTGTGATCTGAAACCAGGCATATGACCCTTACCACCTTCCATGTGTTTGTGTGTCACGTAGAGCAAAATAGAGGAAGGTTGACAGTCAGTAGATGCCTGTTACAAGAGCTATGCTGGAAGCGCTCCTCAGCGCTTCCCCAAGTGAGATCATCGCTATCATGTGCCTGGCGTATCATAGGGACTCAGTGTGAAGGGCTCCCCCACCCCCCGCCATCATCCAGATGTCAGCCCAGTAGCGACAGCCTGCTGCCTGCTGTCTACATGCCTTGTTTTGGTTGCTTCTCGGGAGGTTTATGCAGATGGGGTGGGAGGGGGAATGGAAGATGTAGAAGCTTGGGTGAGGAGGGTGACAGCCAGGGGTTAGCGGCCCTGCTTCTCAGTGGTAAGGTGTTTGTTTGACTTCTAAGCCTCAATTCTTGCCAGCTCCCCCCTCTTTTTTTAATGAAACAGGGATAATAATAGTGCCTACTCTGTAGGGCTTTTGTGAATAGTGAATGATAATAATACCTAAAAGCACTTAGCACTGTTAGGGCAAATAGAAAGGGCTTGATAATGTTACTTCAATATTATTAAGGGGCTATTTTAATACTCTAAGGGGAAGGAAAGCAGAAAGCTGCACTCCATGTTTACTCTCCTCTAATAGGGTTGGTGTGACAGTGGATGTTAGTATCCACCCTTTGTCCACAAGGAAATCAGCTCACCGAGGTTAAGTCCCCTGCTGGTAAGCGGCCTCATTAGGACTAGCGCACAAATGTCTCCAGCTTTCTCTCTACCACTGAGGAATCAGCAAGGGATGCAGAGTTCTGTGACTTCAGCTCCATTTGGGAAATACTGGAACTGAAGTGGAGTTAAGAAAATCTACTCATGAGACTCCAAGAGAGTCAAGAAAAATATCCCAAGCTCTCCTTTGCCATTTTCTGGAAGCTGAGCTACCTTCTGATAAAATGGCAGGTCTTTGCCCTTTCAGGGCCATACCCATTGAGAATCTGATGAAAGGTGTGGATTGTTGCTATAGGAAATGAGCATTGTTTTTTACATTCAATGTCAAGAGTTTTTGGACCCTGGAAGCAGGCCCAGAGTTTCCACGTGGAGAGCTTCTGGTCTTATCTGCAGGTTGAGTTCAGCCTTGTAAATTCATTCCCTTGGTTTTTCTTCCACACCTTGTGACCCACAGACATCTCCAAATCCCTGCTGTCTGGGCCTCCTGTGGACGTCCATAAGAAACTCAGTTGAAGGAGGAAGCCCAGTACAGGTGTCTGGATACTTGGACATTCCTTTAGCCAGACTGACCTGAACAGAACCATCTGGGTACAAGACATACAGAGGTCATTCAACAAATGACTGGAAAATTCAATAAATGTTTGCTACCCTTCACCTCATGTGCTCATTTAAGGAGTTTGTTTTCCACTGTTAGCAAGGATGGCTTGTTCATACATAGCATATTTCTGGTTGGCCATATCCTATCCCAGAAAACCTTTTAGCTTCTATCTGTTGATCTCAAAGGAAGTTCTAGTTTCCCAGTGGTACTTTGTGTGATGTGCAGCTCTCTGAAAACTGTAGAGGGCAGCAAGGTTTGGATGTCCAAACTCCACAAAAGGGCAATGGTAGATCACTGTGGTGCCTGTGCTCATGGCTGCCCAGCCCGTGCCACCTGCTTGGGCACAGGGGCAAGCCTGTGACTCAATCCTGATCAATGTCTGTGTTCCCTAGAGATTGTCCCACGATTGCACATGACTCAGACTGGGCCAGTCTTATCTTTTCCTATGACCTTTTCTGCTGAGATCAGGAAGCCCACTCCTGCCTCTGGGCTCCTTGCTGTGGTGCCAGGATGCTCAGGTCCATCTTGCCACCACACAGAGGAAGACCATCTGCCGGAGGGGAAGCAAGCCCAGAGCAAAGCAGAACCCAAAGATGGGGAAGATGAGAAGCTCAGTGTGCCTGATGCCAGTCCCAGTCTTCCTCCTAGTGCGTTCATCAGACCAGAATGGACTGGATTTGTGTTAAAATGTAGGAATGGTAAGACACACAGACTTGGGAATGAGTGTTATGAGGGAGGAAGGTTTATACACGTGGATCCCCAGAATCAGGAGGCATAGCGTGTTAGGTAGGGCCACCTGGGAAAGGGCAAGGGCTGGTCAAGGGGCAGAAAGGGTGAGGAGACAGCATGAACCAGAGTCTTTGTTGAGGTTTTCACAAGAAGGAATGGGCAAGGCAGAAGAGATACACTGAGTCCATTTAGGATTGGCTAGTTTGAATATTTTGGCAGGCTTTGGGCTATTGGAGTGTTCCCTAGTTGTCCAGTACTTGGGGCAATTCAGGGCACAAGGAATACTGGCTGGGTATGTGAGTGATAAAAGACATAATTGATGTGGCTGTGGATTGGTTCATTTGTGTATAAAATCGACCAATTTGTGTATATTTTCAGGGGATTTGTTTGTTCTCTCTAGGAATTAGCCAGCCCTAAGAGGGGCAGTCTCTCTAAAACCAAGACTCCCAAATGCCAAAGCATCAATCATACAGAAGATAAGATGTAGTCCATACAAGGTTGTGCTGCAGTAACAATCCCAAGACTGCAGTGACTTTGAACACAACAAAAGTTTATGTTTGCTATGCAGCCAATGAATGTTGGGACAGGGAGTGAGAACTGCTCACTGTAGTCACTAAGGGACCTAAGACAATGGCAACTTCTCAACACGTGCCCCAACCCCTCAAGGCAGGCTGAGGGAATATGGCAGACTGCACCCTTGATCTTGAAGCTACTGTGCAAAGTGACATGCAAGTCACATGGTTGCACCAAAAGAGAGAAGAGGACAGGTAACTTCAATCCTACCATATACCAAGAGGGAAGGGAAATGGGATATTTGTGATTAGCTCTGGTAACTACTGTCTGCCATCATCTGAACCAAAAGATTCATTTTTTGCCTACGCTGGTTTGCACTTGCAAACAAAAGAACTATGAGTAATAACATGCACCATCTCCCCACCTTTCCTCTCCATAAACCTCATCACTCGTGTGTACATGAAACATTTTCCCAAATATCATCGCCTCTTCCTTTTCAGCCCCTGAAATCAGTTGAGCGTCCATTCATTAGGGGTTCGTGCATTTTACGGAGGGGAAGCTAGAGCGGGTCCAGGGCTGAGTTAGAACTTGAATCTGGGACTTTTCAACACAAATGCCAGTGGTTTCTCCATTCCAACTTCCATTTGGGGGGGAAAAACTTGGTATCTTCCCAGAGGGCTGAGCTGCTCTCTCAATCTGGCAACTCTCAGCTCTTTCCCTCAGCAGTCCTTTCCGCTTCCAATCTGGGTCGTCTTTCTGCTCCTTTGCCTCCCTTTTTAGTGATTTTCGGGTCCAGAGACATGGATGTGAGGACCAGACTTTTGGGTGCTAGTTCCGCACCCACACAGTGGGCACCGTGTCGAGAAGCCATTAGTCAAGATGTGTGGTAGTTACACGTGTATTTCCAGGAAGCGAGTCCGGGGTGGTACAGAAGGCTCTTCGTTATTTTGTTCAGTAAGCTGAAATGTTATCAGAAGTGAGAGAGGGTTTGATTACTTTAAAGAAATACTTTCATCTAGAAACCACTGGCTCTCTGGCATTTTTTAAGTTTTCCAGTGGTTGAACATTTACAAGAACTATTTTGAACCTGTAACCACTGACTTCCAAATACTGATAATACCTAAACATTTTCTTACTTACATGATTTGACTTTTGGCTTTTGTACAACTTCCTTCTTTTCTATAGTGCTCACATTTCTGTCCTTTCTACAACTACTTTAAGAAAAAAAAAAGACTTTTTAATGGTATTCTTTGGTCAGCACCAGAGGACTCTAACCCCTAAGGAGAGAACCATTCTTCATCGAGAAAATGTCAAGAGCTCTTAAAGGTAAATCTGAGAAGCTGAGCTTCTATTAGCCCTGGGCTCTTGGGAAAGACTGATGGGCTTTCCTGCCTCATCTCTAAGTGCAGAAAACTACTTAGGTAATGCAGCTCATGAATTTACAGTGAAGTATGAAGTAGACCTGTTGACTGAAGATTGACAGTGGAGCCTTCTTGGCACCTGGTATCAATGTTGCACTAGCCATGTGCCTTTAGACACATGCCACACTGTAAAATACAAGGCTGTCCCCTTGAGTCTAATGATAAAGGAATTGAGAGATGCTTTGGGACATCAAGAGGGCACTCTGTTACATACTGGATCCCTAACCTTAGTATTTCAGGAGCTCTGATACAGCTCCTACTCCAGACATTCCTTTGGCTTATTCAACTTCTGGTAGTGAGCAGCTAACAGTTACTGATTTAACTAGCAGGTAGTTAGGATATTGATTTGAAACTGCTTTAACAAAAACCCATTTTTGTTAAAGAACTGAGTTTCTCTCTCATGTAAAATCTGGGCTGGTAGAAGGTTTGAGAAGATAAGGCAGGGTGGTTCTGCTCCAGGAGATGGTCCACAGACCTGAGGTTCCCTCCATCTTGTTGCTTTACCAGCCCTCATCCCTATGAGCAAAGCCTGCTCACCAGTACACTCCCAAGTCTGCATCCTAGCCCATGGAAAAGAGCCAAGAGGAAGAGGATGGTGTGCCACACAAGTTACCACATATTTCCACTCATGACCCATTGGTCACAGTCAAATGGCTTATACTCAGCTGCAGGATAGGTTGGGAAATAGACTCTGGGCAGTCATGTGTCTAGCCCGAACTCTAGGAGTGGTGGCTGGGGTGAGGAGTGGGTGGGGCTCATTACTAAAACCAGGAAGAGAATGGATAGTGAGAGACAATTGAAGGCACAGTTATGAAACCTGCTCGGTTGATTACAGCTCAGTGTGGCTTAATTTACCAGTTGCAGGTTTCATGGGGGAAGAGAACAGAAAGGCTGCATGCAGGTAAGGGTGGGGTTGTAGGGTGCTTCTCGAGGAGGGAGACCATGTCTCCTTGGTGCCCACAGCAGTTAGCACAGTACCTAGCACACAGTGGACTGCCCATAAATGTTCATTTGTGTCCCACCTTCTTCCACAAACTCACACAGGATTTGACCTGTATTAATAAATGATTGTCAAATTATACCAAATTCATTAGAATGGCAGACTGGTGGAATTAAGGTTGACTTGAATCTCTTTTCCTAAATCTCTTTTCCCCAGCAGTGCCTCTTATGCCAGATCAGTTCATTCTAACACCTGCAGAGGGATCCGCGGTGCCTGGGCCCTGATTCACCACCTAGGACCATTCTCCCATCTTTACACCATGTTTTCTAGCCTTGACTGACTTCAGGTCTATGCACATGGGGATGCCTGCTCATAGCTGTCTCCCAACCACACTAGTTTCACTTGGTAGGAGGAGGAAGGGATAGGAGCTTTGAGATGAGGGGAGGAGGGGGGTAGTTGGGGGGATGATGTGGCACTCTGAGCTCCTGCCGTTTTCACAAAGTTCAGGGAGCAGCATTTCCAAGGGGCCAGCAGAATGAAGAGGCTGAGTTCTTTGCAACTGCTGGAGGGGGCAGAAAAGAAGCGGCTAGCTCTGGGCCTGAGCAGGGATGGCAGCACAAACCTCCAGGCCTAGCTGCGTCCTCTCTGGAATGTCTTCCCTTAACTGTCTTAACTCCCATTGATCCTTCTGGATTCAGGAGCAGCACGCAGCAGGCCTAGGAAGTCAACTTTACTGGCCTGTCTTCTCTGCCTGTATTTTCCCACAGCCCCTCACCACCCTGCCTTATACATTTCTCCATATTGGCCTCCCCCACACCCTCCCAGCTGTTCACCACTGTACCTTTGTCACCTGAGGGTACAGATAACAGGCAGCCCTTGTTGGCACTGAGAGCTTCCTTCCACTAGATGAAATGGGATTCTGTCCCCAGAGTTACTCCTATAGAAGAGGTCACCTGTCACTTGTTATATCCACTTTGGTGACCCAAGATGCTTACTACTCCCAAAGCCACACTGGAAGGGAAATTCTCACCTGCGCGCAGCGGGCGCTGGCCCAAGATGCCCAGCAGATGGCGCCGTTGCTCTCCTTATCCTCCCACCCCAGCCTGAAACGGAAACAAAGACCAGGAGAGAGTGGGGAAGGTGGGGTGGGGGGCCGGCCTCTGCAGAACGCTGGCAATGAGAGAAGCTTCCTGCCGAGGAGGCCCCAGGCTCCCTCACCCGCGGAACCCTTCCCCTCCGGCTCAAGGCAGCAGAACAGAGAGGAGACGACGATGGGGGCAGGGCGGGCGCACGGGGGAGCCGCTGAAGCTCCCAGGACCCCATGCAGAGGCTCCTGCTGTCTCCTCATCGCTTCCATTACAGACTGGGGATGGCAGAAGGCCCACTACTGGGGCCTGTTAGACAGGACTCTTCCAAATACGGCGTTGACAGTGGCAGCCACTGGCCGGCGCTCAGCCCACAGCATCTCGGGCTGGGCTGTGAAACTTCCTAGCTGAACACCTTGGGCAAGTGGTGGGGTGAGGATTTCAGGTTGGTTGGGAGCCAAGTCTCAGTTTCTTCATCTCTAAGAAAGAGAGATGAAGGTTAATTTTTCCTGACAACACAGCCTGGAGGGGATTAATTACCCATGAAGGTGTCTGAAAAACAGAAGCTGACCCATCAATGTTGGTTAAACTTAAAGCATGTACAGTTGCCCCTGCTGGGGCAAACCCTTCCACAGGGTCAAAAGACTCAACAATTCTCTCCTGAGAGGAACTTGGATGTGATGGTAAAAGTAAGGGTGGCAAGATGCCCCTGTCATCTCTCATCCAGCTTATTCCAAAAGCCTCCTGAGTGGTCTCCCTGCCTCCAGCACAACCAGCCTTCTCTCCTTGCAGCTCGTCTTTCCCCTTTGTCACTGCAGGTGTTTTCTAAATGGAAATCTAATGCCATTCCTTTGCTTTAAATACTTAAATGGCTTCTCAGTGCTCTCAGAATAAAGGCCAAACTCAGAAAAAGGTCATTCAGTGTTTTTTACAACCTGACTTCTCGCTACATTTTAGTCCCATGAAACAAGATTAAAGAAACAGGCATAAAGCAGAATTAACTGTGAGGATCCGGGCTAGAGGGCGTGGGTCCTAGGTGATGATTTTGGACAGCTCTGGGCACCAAGGACAGAAGTGGAACAGGGTCAGGAAGGAAGGAGCACGAGGGTTTGGTGGCCAGTATTGTCCAGTCCTTGATCTGCCTTTTCTCTGGGTCTTACTCACCATTTTGTCTCTAGCACTTGGGACACTGCCTGCCATTGTAGGTGTTTGGTCGTGTTGAATTCATGCAGGCATGAATGAATGAGTGAATGAATGAATGTCCCAACAGGGTCCAGGGTTGACTGGCCATGTCCTGTGTCCACCAGCTGCTGCCTTTTCCTGCAGGGGAACATACTTCCTTCTCCCCACTGCTGCCAGGCTATCCCCATCCCTCATTGCCTTGGCTGACCTCTGAGGTTGGACTGCTCAAGACAGTGGGGCCAGGAGGAGAGAGCTTGTCTCAGCTATGCAGTCTCAGATCTAGCTCTGGGGGAAGCAACATGGCACTGACAGCAGAAATCACAGAGCATCTTATGTCCACCGCCTCTCTGAATGCTGTGTCCTAAACCTTGCAGGAAGGTCACCCTGGCAGCAGAGGGTCACCCTGCCTTTCCCCCATAAATCCCTTAGTCAGGGGACATGGGCATGGCTGCCTGGCCACGGGTTCCCCTGGACGGCCCTCTCCCTGGCACAGAGGGTGCACATCTTGTGCTCCTTCTCTCATGTTAAACAGCTGGTCTAGGAAGGCTCCACACTGCTGCAGCCTCTGCCAGGTCTCTCTCGTGACCCCATTTTCCACAGCACTCACCTCCACTCTTCTCCATACGGTGGTTTCTCCTCAATGTTCTCCATAAAGATCTCCCCCCACTGGTTGGCCAGCTTGGTCACCTTGCAAACAGGAATCCATAGCTTCTGGAGAGGCAGAAAGCTCTTCTCCATGTCTGCTTGTCCAGCAGAGACATCCATTCCTCCCAGTCACCGCCCTCAGTCACTCTCATCCCTCGTCACCATCTCTCACCCAGCAACTGTCTCAGCCCCTTACTGCCTGGGCCTGTCTTCCCCAATCCAGCCTTCACAATGCTTTCCAGAAAGGAAATTAGATCTTGTGTTATCCTCTAAACCTGATCCTCCTCTTCCCAGGCTTCTCCATCTCAGCAAAGAGCCCCAACCAGAAATTGAGAGACTGCCACTGCCTATTCCCGCTCCCTGGTGCTGCCGCACCCTCACCAACTCAATCCATTAGCAAGTTCCGCAGGTTCTCTCTCTGGAATGTATTCACAGTGGCCCATTTCTCTGCATCTCTGCACCAGCTTAGTTCATGGCACTGATATTTCTCAGTATCCTCTAAGCACAATGACCTCTACCAGCCTTTGCCTCCTCAACTCATGTCAGTTTCCCCATTGTGCCAACCTCTCATTGGTTCCAGGGTCTGCTGAGGTCCTCCTGCCGCTAGGGCCTTGCACTTGCTGCCCCCCAGCCCCTGAGCACCCTTTTCCCTTGTTTTCACAAGACCAGCTCCTTCTCTTTTAGGGCTCAGCTAGAAAATCACTTCCTTAGAGAAACTTTCTCAGGCCACTCTCTCTAAAGAGGATTTTTCCTTTTATTCTCAATCCCAGAATCCTGTTTCTTTTCTTCCTTGTCCTCAGTATAAAGTCTTATTAATTTAGTACATTTATGTGCATACTTATTTATTTAACTTGTCATTGTCTCCCCGTTGGAATTTACCCTGAGGGTGAGAAGCTTGTCTGTCTTGTTGAACACTGTATCCCTTGAGCCCAGCACAGCCTGCATAGAGCATATGCTCAATAAACATTTGTTAAATGGGCATAATAAACAAATGGAAGATCCACCATGTCCCTGTCCACGCTTCCCCACTGCCCTTGGCCTACATGCCACACCTCACAGTGCCCATCGCAGTTAGCGCCTTACCTGAGCCCTCTTTTTCTGGCTTCATTGCCAGGCCTATGGGGAATCAATCAAGATGAGAGAGTTAAACCAGAGTGGGTGCCATGGTGCAGACAAGAGCACTGGCCCGGGACGTGAAGAAAGGGACGGGGGACAAACGATCTTCATGACCCTAGGTGGCACTTCAATTCTGTGATAGCTACTGTGTATATATATACCTTTTAATCATAGCCGGATTAAACTCTGGACCAAGAAGCCAAGGGAGCAAATCAAGGTCACAAGGGATAGCTCTCGCTGTCCTGGGGACTGCAAAGGGGTGTGCACACGTCCGACTCCCTAGTGCTGACTCAGGCCAGGTGGGGTCAGAATTCTCAAGAGAACAACTTGAAATCAGCAGACCTGAGAGTAGGGGCCATGCCCACCCAAGTCACACTCCATGCCCAGGACTCAGCACAGTACTGGGCTCATCGCATGTCCTCAGTGAAGAGCTGAGTGACTGTGCATGTCCTGGGGACCAGGAGGCTTGTCCCTCTCATGTCAGCTGGGGGGCAGCAAGAGCACAGGAGAGCCCCTAGAGGTTGTGGTTCCTCTGAATGAGAAGCCTCTCTGGTTGGCAGGCGCAGGTGCTATCTGCCCCTTTCCTCTCCTCTCCCCTCCCCAGGACAGACCCTGACTGAGCCTCCAGCTGCCCCCATATTCTGGGGGCCCGGGCTCTGTTCTGTTCCCCACACCAATACATTTACCTGGCAGATTAAAGTGATCTCTGCTGGCTCCTTGCAAAGTGACTGCCTGCCGAGGTTTCTTGCTGCACGTTCCCAAGCCCAGCCCCAGGCAGCTGTCAGGATTGAAGGAGGCACTTCTGAGTTGTCCTGTCAGTGTCCTCAGAAAACATTCCCCACATGCCTAGGTGTGGGGCTCTGGGTGTGGGCCTCCAGGCTCAGCCCTAACCATAGGTGTAAATCCAGCCTCTGTGGTGGGACTGGGGTGAAGGGAGTGAAGTTTCTAGAAGGAGCTGAGGGTGTCCAGGTGCCTTTCCACTGACCACAGTCCTGAGCAGCATGAGCTTCTCCACAGCGAATTCAGGAAACTATTTGTATTTCTGATCAACTGGTAGAGTTCCATCCACTGAGAGGGCAAAGTATCTCCAATGCTGGGCACCACAGGCCATCACAGAAAGCCTCTGGTGGCCGTGTGCACTAAGTCCTCCTCAGACCAGGAGACAGGCCAGAGATGTGAAATAACTTGCTGGAGGTCACACAGCTAAGTGCCTTCTGACCCCAAGTTGAGTGATTTTCTGTTCCTGGGAAAATTAAGGTGCACTAAGTTCTAATGTAGGACCATCCCTAGGAGAACAGAAAGAAGGCAAACACTGAGGAGATGGCCCCAGGAGTGTGGGCGGTTGAAGCAGGGAGCTGCCCCAGGTGGACCTGCTGGGAATAGAGGGTGGAGACAAAGAAGGGACGCGGCAGGGTGCCATATCAAAGGGCGCTCTCCTGGAAGTGAGAAAGACGTTATTCCAGGCAGTAGTGGGCAAGGTTGGAGTGGGGGGGAAGGTGGAAAGGGGCAGGAACTGCTGCAGACTTTGTGGGGACCTCTGGTTCAGGGGAGATGCTTAGAGCTGGTGCTTAAACTTGAGGTGCCTTTGGGGGTTTCTCTGAAGGTTCCCCCCTGGAATCCTACCATGGTGCTTGTCTCTTCCAGTGACCACTTAGGACTCCCCCCAGCCCTGGTTTTCCCCAGGTCACTGGGTCACTCTGTTGAGGCTGTGTCGACTTCCAAGCAGGCAACTCCAAGCAGCAGCTCCGGCGTCCCCGGATGCACAGGAGAGTTTCAAATCCTCTGTCTGAACAGACTCAGAAATTCAGGCCTCCCCTGTGCAGCCTCCTCTCCCAAGCACAGTGGCAGACCAGGCGCATTGGCCCCCTCCTCAAGCTTTCCCGGGGGTAGTCCATACCTGCCACTGAGCCTCACAGGCTCCAGGGTCCTGGGTCAAGTGGGCATGGCCTCCTGAAGTGCTTCTCACAAGGCTGGGGGAGGGAGGATAAACACCCTATCCTTCCCTGTGGGGGGCAGTGGGACACATAGCCTCCAAATAAATCCTCCAAATAACTCCCTCCAAATAAATTCTCTCAATTTCCTAATTTTATGAGTACAATCCTTTCAACTCTTTAATGTTCTATATTTTGAACTCTAAGTCCCAAAAACATTTTCAGCACCTCCTTTGCAAATGCTGTTTCAGCATGGAACACTGGGGCACTTGACATTTTTTGTTTTGTGCTTGGCTTTTTGGGACCTTGGTGAAGAGAAGAGGTTCCATTTTAATGTCAATGCTCATTTTATTTTATTTTTTTAAATTGGTAATACATTCACATGATCAAAACTGTCAAATAGTATAAAAGTGTACACACAGAAAACGCTCCCTCACTGTGGCCCTCCCCAGAGGCGCCAATGGGTTCAGTTTATTGCACATTTTTCCAGAGAGAGATTTTGCCTGCACACATATCCTAGCCCTTTAATGCAGAGGTCAGAAAACTGCAGCTCAGCTCACCCCCAGGGCTGAGACCAGCTCGCAGCTTGTTTTTGTACGTCCTGAGAGGGAACTATGGTTTTACATTTTTGAAAGCTTATAAGAAAACAAAGCAAAAACAAAAACAAGCATATGAGACAGGTGGTCTATGGCTTGCAAAGCCTAAAATATTTACTATTGGCCCTTCCCAGAAAAAGTTTGGTCAAAGTTTAAACAAAAGACAGTGTATTCTATACACCTGGCTTTTTTTCACTTACTAATCTATCCTAAAGAGGCCTCTTTCTATCAGTACATAGGAGCTTCTTCCTTTCTCAGGCACACAGAATTCTATTGTCTGGATGGACTATATTTAGACAGTTTCCTACTGTTAACCTTAAAAATAAAACTGTCAGTTATTTTACCAGCAAAAATGGGTTTATTCAGAAATAGCAGAGAATTGCACCTCAGGAAAAGCAAGATACCTTCAAAACCACAAGCAAGTCAGAAGAACAAAAGAGATGACCATTCTTTTATAGAGGAATAGGCAGAGTTGGGAAGGCTGTTATAAACAAAAAGATTGAAGTAAACCCAGTTGGAAGTATGGTGGATTTTTATTGGCTGAGTTGAGACAGTCTCCAGTTGGCTGGGCTGTCGTCAGAGTAGGAGGAAAACCTTCCTTCCTCAGGCTGGTGTACAAGGTAGTATCTAAAGCGGTATTTTCTTGCAAGGTCCCATGTCTTCCTGTTAGGTCTGCAATGGATATGGAGTGGTAGGGTGCAAGAGCTCCCCCTGTTGGCCTCTGAACTCCATGTCAGTGAAGTTTCCATTATTTTTCCAGAATTGAGGCACAGTAAGATTGTTAGCAACCTTTTGCTATTACAGACAATGCTGTAGTAGAAGTTGCCTGTTTAGACTGAGGCAGGTGTTAGTGGGATGCAGGCAGATAGAGCTCAAGGCCCCGGTAAGTTGCAGTCAGGAGGGAAACAGGGTCAAGGCTTCACAATAAACAAGACACACCTGGGTCACCTGGAAAATTGAGCCTGAAAAATAAGGGAGTTTTTTCCTTTTGAACCCAGCTTGATCCTAGCAACAAGCCCCCACCAATCATGAATTTCTCCATTTTTGTGCTTATAAATCCTGGACACTATAGCCCTGACCACATCCTCCCTTGGAGCTCCTCCTGATTAGTGGGAGTCTTTTCTTTCTTTTACACTCCTCATTAAAAGCTTTGCTAGTTTCTCCATACTCTTGTCTGCTGGCTTCATTCCTTGACACCTCTGAGACGTGATCCAGAGAAGAACAGTGACTCCTCCATAGTAACAAGACTGCTACAATAATGCCACAGATTTGGTGGCTTGTTAACAAGAGAAATTAATTCCTCACAGCTCTGGAGGCTAAGGAGTCTGACATCAAGATGCCAGCAGATTTGGTATTGGGTGAGGTCTGCTTACTGATTCAGACAACTGTCTCACTGTGTCCTCACTTGACAAAAGGGGTGAAGGAGCTCTCTGGGCCCTGGTCCCACGAGAGCTCCACATTCATGAAATGAGCATCTTCCAAAGGCCCTGCCTTCTCATGCCATCTCCTTGGGGGTTAGATTTCAACATACGAATTTTGGGGAATAAACATTCAGTCTGTAGCAGAGCCTGTGCCCTTTTCTTTTATCCCTCCCTTCTCCTCCTCTGGTGGGGATTGGGCTATAACCAGGACTCTCCCCAAACCCTTTACTTTTCTGGACAGTGCAGGACTGGTGGCC